GCCACTCTCCAGAGAGTGACAGATGGCCATCTGTCACTCTTAGGGGAGGGGTGGGACTTCTGGGGCCCCTCCGCCAATCAAAGACATGGGGGGAGCTGCCACACTCCACCATAAAAATCTTCCTCGTCTCCCCCATACCCCGTGCCTCAGCACACCAGGGCTTCCTGCCATTTTCTGTTTGCAACTCCCTTCCTCCCCCCATTTGATGGCCTTTTTCCTAGTCCCTGCACTTTTTTGCAGGGGACCTACTAATTTTACAGTTTCTGCAAAAATTGCAAAATCACAATTTCAGTAGATCCCTACTCATAAATGGTCACTGTTGTACTAGCAGTGCTAGAAATGTGAAAATCCATGTCTTGGATAGAGAAAGACCACTCAAATGCCCCTTGCTTCAAGCCTGTCACCCAATTTAGTCTCAAAGTTTTCTACATTCCACATAATTTGGCATTGCCTCATTTTTATTGTTGAAAACGTTAACATCAGAAATAAAGAATCGTGGAGCTAAATTATAGAAAGAGTCATTTACCCTAACTGAATGACTCCCTCAGCGAGTTTTATGTTTCTTACATGAATAACTGTTTGTCCCTGACTTCGAAGATTTTCTCACACACCACACTCCATGTTTGGACCTGGGCAGGTTGAGTGGCATGTATGGGGGAGGTCTTTTCCCCTGACAGCTTGTGAATTGTCTGTCTGAGGGAGACGGAGACAGCTGTTTGTTTTGGAAGTGATAAAACAGAGATGCTTCACTAACAAGAGTCAGGCATGAGGAGCTGAATATCCAAATAACATTATATATACTTCTACAGATACAAAGCAAGGAATTTCTTATATTCTGCAAACAAAATTCATAGATTCACTTTGCTGTCCTGTGTAGCAGCAAATGCCACATGGGACTGTATCAAAAGCATTGCTGAAGTCCAGGTATTTTATGTTCACCACATGTCTCTTGTACATCCAAGTCAGTCTGTCAGAAAAAGAAATCAAGCTTGTATGGCATGATTTGTTCTCAGAGAATCTTTTAATGGCTGTGTGTGATTACCCCTTCCTCTTCTAGGTGCATGGTAATAGGGATAAAATGTTAATCTGAAGTCAGTTTCTATAAATTAGTCTCTGTTTCTAGTTTCCCCAGCTGCAAACAGATGTTGCATTTATCCTGGGACAAAATGCAAGCATACAAATGTCCAGGTCCATTGTCCCAAGGTAAATCCAAAAATAGTTTCCTGAATAAGAGGTAATAATAGTTTATCCCAGGATATTGCAACATATGTCTGCACAGTTACATCAGGATAACATCACTGAATCAATGGCAGAAAGGTGGCACTTTATTCAGCCACTTGCTAAACCCCGGTTAGAAGGATGTTGTACCAATCCCAGAATATTTTTGTTTTTGCAAAAACACAGGCATATTTATCCAGAGACAAGTGTAACATCTGTTGAGAATTAACATTGATAGCAAAAGGCCCCATTTGAACACAAGACTGAAATTAGCCCCTACATGCATTTTAATAAAAACATGAACATATTTAAAAAAATTTTAAGTCCTTGAAATGAACCTTAACTCTTTTCCCTCTTCTTCTCCCAGAGAAATATTTTAAAGGATAATTTATATGCATTTTTAAATAGTAAGAATCCTCTCCTGTCCTCTCCTCCCCCCACTCCCTCCCCCCCCAATTTAAAAAGAAGGGGAAAAGCTGTTGATATGTTCATGTAAAAAAGTGCTTAACCAGAGATCAAAAGGAAACCAGCAAAGTTCAGTACCATCCTCATGAGCAGTGTTGCCAAGTCCACTTATTATAAGAGGAACTGGGCTTGTTTTTTAAAAAGTTACTTTAAGTTTTTGAGTCTCAGGTTGATAAGCATCCCCACTCCCCTCTCTGAAATGGGTTGAGCTTGTTTGGGGCTTGTTTTTAAAAGCAGTGCCGCTTTTTTTCTCTTGGGAATTGGCAACACATCACTCAAGAAGATAGGTGGATGTGTAACAGCAGAATTTCAGCTGATTGAATCTGTTAAGGAATGCATGTTAATTTTCCTATTACATAGGACCTGGAACATTTTGGTAGTATTTATACAGTGACCTGTTATAGAAATGCATTGTTTCAAGCATGTTGCATGTAGGCAATGTGGATTCCCAATGACATGCTGAGCGATTTTTCTCCAAATGTGGTGTCATCTGCCTACTGATGAGTACTTCCTCTTCCTCAGACCAATTCATTGCCTATTGTTTATGCTGGGGCCCCCAGCCCGGGGGCTGTATATTAGTGTCCCTAGAAGGATAATATGCTATTGTCAGGAAAAATGTTTATCACTGGTGGGGATTTTTCCTACTGAAATGATGACAGTGGCAGAGAGGGTAACTGTGTGTTGGGAATATGACCTTGGTTATTGTGCACACTTCATGGAAGCACCCACTTGAAATGTTTTTGCTGGTTCAAAAGTTTGAATCCTCACCCTTTCCAACTTTAGAAAAAATACTTAGTGAAAATGTCCCTGTTTTTTCCATTGAAATACAGGAGGGAAAATGAGGCCAACTGTTTTCTTAACAATTATTTCTTACTTAGGAATAGATCAATGTTTATCTGACATTCCATTGGCTAATTCAAAAGTTGGTAAGTGAAAAGTAAGAAGCTACTTCTCTCTGACTTTTGGATTTTTTTAGTTGAGGAAAATTCCCTAAAAGAAAGAGGAGTGATGGAAATAATAGGACAAATTGGTCAAGGTTGGAAGTCTGGGGATTTTTTTCCATACCTACCCATTAGTGAACAATGACAGATTTCTAACCTTTTCTCACAGTTTATAATTCTGTATTTTGAGTTTTATTGCTCTCTTCTTATACTGTCATGAAGAATTGATTAAAATAATAGCTCTGTCTCAAACAGCTGGTATGGTTTTATTTCCCTCTATCTGAAAAACCCCTGTATCTATGAGAAACTTTAGATCAGGTTTTTGCTACTTGCAGATTTGAGCATTGGCAAAGTACTATGTTCATGTCTAAATAAACTGGCACACTTCCACTACAACAAGGAAAGCTGCAAGCAAAGGAGACATTTAAAACTGGCATAGAACTGTTTACTGGTTTTCAAAAGGCAGATTAAAGTTACAGTAAGGGGATTAACAATAACAGGGTGGCAGCTGGGAGAAATCAAGGTTCATATGCAGCAGCACCTGGATTCAGTTATTACTCTTTCCTCATGCAGACCTCAGCAGGAGGTGCACAGGCTTAATCACAGTGTTGGGCTTTAATAAGAAGGTTGTGTGACACAAAAGAGTTAATACATTTGGCACAGCAACTAATTAGAAAACATGAAAAATGTACATGGTATGTGAGGAAGAATTCTCTCTCTCTCTCACTCTGTATGTCTCAAAAGAAAAGGAAAAGAAAAGACTGCCAGGTGTTTGTTTTGTTTTGTTTTTTCCTCTTAAAAATATACTTCACTAGCATTTTAAAACCTGTGCATCTGAGGTTCAGCTTCTAAATCTATATTTAGGCTCGTAAATAACCTGAGATAATTTGCTATTTTAGCTCTGTGTTTTCTAGTAAAAAGAAGAATTCATTTGCATTATCTGGGCTAACAACAGACATTCAAAAAGCCAGAGCCTGAATTGATTCAGTCATTGCAGGTTAGTCTAACAACCTGTGTAGATTAAATTGATTTGCAAGTGAATAGACATTCCCTTTTGATTCCAGGAATGCAGGCACATACCTGCAGTGGCTCAGGCCAGAAGCTGAGGGGCACAAGAGCAGCCCTCCCTTCCTTCCGGCAGCAGTTGCAAGACTGGAGGAAAGCTGATGGGCAGGGGGTCGAGGGGAAGTTGGCTTGGCCCAGCAGGGCAGTTCTGCTCCCTTCACAGGATGGGGCATGGTGGCAGCTATGGTGGCTTGGGGCCCACCAGTCCCTCCAAGCTGCCCGGACAGCCCATTACCTGGCCAGACCCTGCCCATGCTGCCAGGCCGGGATGTCACAGAGCCCAGCTGCGGTCCCTCAGTGGGAGAGGGAAGAGAGGGGGTGATAAGTCCCCTCTCTGCTCCCTTTGCCTCAGGGGGCCATGCCAGTCAGTGTCTAGCCACACCCCACCGCTACTCCGGCTAAAGAGCAGAGGGGCAGAGCCAGCTCTGCTGTCTGGAGCAGACAACACAGCCCAGCCCAGCTCAGGGCTGAAAAGCATGCTGGGATGCTAGGGGGCTCTGGTTTAACTTAAACCAGGAAGGGGTCTGGGACAGAAGTTGCATAAACCAGTTTGACCCAAATCAGTTAAGTCTGATACTACATTCAAGCAGGTTTATCTTAAACCTGTTTCAGCCCTTTTGAAAGTGATTTATGTGCACTGAATGTCTGTTCTGTTACAGGTTCAAACCCATATCTGATCACTTAAACAGGTTTATTTGTAACTTCTGTCCCTAGCCCTGGTGTTTGAAGGCATCTTATGGCATTGTACAAACAATAAAACAATTAAAATGGAACAATTATTCTTTTAGAAGGTTCCAGCGGGTTTTGTCTGGTTCCAGGTTTAGAACACTCGTTATGTGTTATTCACCCTCTCAGAGCTCGCTACTTGAAAATGTATTCTTGATGATTCCATTAAATTTTCCTTTGTACACTTTCATTTCCTTGGTATTTGTCTTTTTGGGTTATCATACCCCAGCAGTTCTTAATAAATTATCTACATCATGAAAACTTTTAAGTCAGATATTCTTTTTGTCAACCTGTCTGCTCTCATCCCTCTATCATACCTTCCCTTCAGCAGCCATCCTGCTTACTATGAAGAAGTTACATGAAATAAATACTATTCACTAAAAGTTTGACTTACTGAATGACAACCATATTTGTGGAATTACAGTCTTAAAACAGATTTTTACATTGAGCATTTGACCAACTTTAAAAAATAGCACTTAAAAACAGTTATAGGAGTACCTGATCTCCCCAAATACTGCTCCTGCTTTCAGAGTAACAAGGATTTTTGTGCCATCAGGGCCTCCAAGAACATGAACTTCTCCCTGTTTGATGATGTACATTTCTCTGCCAATCTCTCCCTGAATGCACAAATACATTAGAAACCTCCTGTGTTTCAGCAAAGTAACAAACACTTTCTTGAGTAGTCTGACAAATATAACTTAACCGAACCCCATGTGTCAAAAATTAATGTAAAAAATGTGTGTAAAAATGTTGGCATGTAAATTCACCACTTTAATGCAAAAAGAAAGATCATTTTGTGATATCCCAACTCTCATTGAATAACACCTTATTCCAGATGCAGTCCTACTAGTGTTAATACCTACTGAAGTATTATGAGGTATTATTCAGCATCAGTAAGGAAATCCGTCCCATCTATGGGAAGTGGCCATATAATTAACATTGTACTAGTTAGCTTTCATTGGCATGAATTAATTCTGATGGGATCTGAAGTGACTCAATAATAAGTTTAACAGAAAATGGTTTATGAAGAATTTTGTGCTTAGCTGTAATTCAGACTTTTTATTTCTAATCATCATTTATAGAACTTAAAAGGAATATCAAGAATAATCAACTAACCAAAGCTCCTACTCTTTCTTGTATATTTACTAGCCAATTGAAGATTTTGCTAGTACCCAAATGAAGTAAATTGTAACTGGATATAAAGGATTGATATAATCAGCATACATAATGAAATGCAGCTGTATCACAATAATTTAATGGGTAAAAGGACAGTGTGATAGGATAACTGGGTATATATTACAAACATTAACAGTCCTCACAACATCCCTGTGAAATAGGAATGGAGATGTTATTCCTATTTTACAGATGTGAAAACTGAGGCAGAGAAGTGAATTAACTTTAATAGAGCAATACTACAGTTTGATGGCTTTTCGATAAGCTTGTGAGGATTTGATTTTTGGGGTAAATGTTGCTAAATGGCATTTTCACCTCACATTTAGAGACCAAAGAAGAAACATTTCCATCCTTAATAATTAAAATAGAGGGGAAGAACAAAAAGGAGTTGCAAACTGGAGTATAGGGGGCCAGTCTCTTTAAAGCTGAAATCAGGAGGCAGCCTAATGACTCATCAGTTAAACAATTAGCTGCTTGTTCACAGGTTCCAGGAAGCAGACTGGAGGGAGATAACAGGCTACTTAAATCCCTACCTGAAGTCCAGCATGAAGGGAAGGGAAGGGAAGGGTGTTGGTGTTGGTGTTGGTGTTGGTGTTGGTGTTGGTGTTGGTGTTGGTGTTGGTGTTGGTGTTGGTGTTGGTGTTGGAGTTGGAGTTGGACTAGAAGCAGTGGCTGGGAGTTCCTGATACCTGAGTGGAACAACTCAGCTGCAGAGAACTGGAGAAAAACTTTAAAAAGAGGTTACCAGCCTACTGGTGAGACTGGTACATGGACAGAAAGACTGTAATTAGAAAGGATACAAGTTTTGGAGTTTTCTTGGCCTTTTCATTGTTTATTTGCCATCTTGGGGGCAGAAGATCTTTATTTTGTTAATTTAAACTGATAAAAATGGAAATAAATGCTTAAAATAAACATTGATATCAGTCAAAATTATTAAAAAATAAAAATGAAATTCTGCCAAGTCTACTTTTAGAGCTTTTTAGGGCTTCTAAATCCAAACTCTATGCTCATTCCTTTAGATCACATTGCCAGGCTTAATGCTTTATGCAAGCTAATTGGGCAGCGCCTGGTATGCCAGTCTTTCCAGATCCAGATCTCTCTAAATCCATTGGTGACTTTTCTTTAAAATTCTGTATGAGAATCCAGTTACAGCTTTGTTTGAATTAATAGAAATTGGGTTAGCTCCTCAAAGTCCTGCTTTTTAGCTGTAAACCATACCTGAATGTTGTATTTGTGTAAAACACCGTATTTATATCTAATATTTAAGGATCATATAAATCTAATTACAAGATCAAGGTCTTAATCTGTTTTTATCACTTGTGTATTATGGCCTTGTTACACCTTGCAGTTTGAGCTGCTCAAATGTTGATCGGTGTTAGTGCTAGTTTGAGTTTGGAGCAGTCGCACCTTATGGCTAAAAACCTCTGATTGTCCCTGACCAGCACAGCTGTGACTTGCCACTAGAGGGCTGGTGAGCGGGGGCCTGACTAGGAGCCACAGCTGTGACTTGCCACTACAGAGCTACTGAGTCAGGGAGGCTTCTATCCCTGCTCTAGGTTGGGGTGTGTAAGAGATGGGTTGGGGAGAGGGAGGGAATGAAGCTGGGAGGTAAAGAGTTAATGGGATGGGGGGTGGGTAATGAAATGGGAAGTGGAAAGGAAATGGAGGTGGGGAAATGAAGGAAGTCAGCCACTGAAGGATAAAATAAAAAGTAAAAATAAAAATGTAAAAGAAATAAAGAGAAAGTAAATTTTAAAAAGGCCTCATGTTTTAATGAAGTGGAGTGGGGGGGGTGGGGGTCTGAACATGCTTCCTGGGATTGCTGGGCGGTAGGAGCAGTGAAGGAAGGTGCTACTGGGGGAGCTGCTGCCCTGCCCCAGGAAGCCTCAGCTGAGATACCTGATCTGAACCCCTAGGTGTATTACTGGGTGTAACCACTTATTATTGTATTAAGGTAGTAGTAATACCTTATATAATGAGCTTGTTTGGCAATAAGAACATGTGTGGTGAGCAATTAATCCCAGGGTAAGAAGCCTTAATGAAGTGTAAACAAATCAGTGTGGGCTGTTTCAGCATGAACTAACCAGTATGCCTATGCTGGTCTATGTAGTGCCTTTAATATTGAAAACCTAGCCTTGGGTAAATGGCTAGTGTCATTTTCATGCTTAAAACAGCTGCCCACCATACTGGGGCTGTATCTGGGAATTTTGGAAAGCACCAGGGATCCCACTGTCCTCTATAAACATTGGACAAAAAGTTGGTCCCTGTCCCAAAGAGCTCGTTGCATAGGTTTGATTGCATCCCTCATACCCCATCTACCTTCCTCCTTTTGTTATCTGAGGCCCCACCATGCAGTAAGCTCCATGAAGCCCAGGCTAATGTTAAACTTCACAAGTCTCATGGTAGGCACGTTGAGTAGTCACTGAAGTCAATAGAACAATTCCCAGTGCATAAATGTAATTACATCATTAGCCTTTGCAGGACTGTAAAGTCTTTTGGGACAGGACCATGTCCCTGTATGTTTTTAAGCCACTTAGTGCATTGGGACCCAATTTGAACTGTGGCCTCAGAGTGCATCTACAATACAAATATTTAAACTGATGGAGCATATACAATGTTTAAATTTGGGAATGTATTAGCATCACAGATTGTGCTCAGTAGCCAAATTTCGTGTGTGCATGTAAAAGTTTGTAACTTGTATCTTCTATAACTCTTCTATTTTAAAATATTCTACCTTAATGATGTGTCACCAGATAAATTGTATGTATATAAAGCAGTTTCCCTGGCTACCAAAATTTTATTTGATAACATAAGTAATAAAATCCATATTGTCTTGTTCCAGCTTGAAACTTGAGAGCTTATTATTATTATTATCACTCAAAATATCATAATTATTTTATACTATATAATTCACCCAGGATTAATTTTGTTTAAAGCATGCTCTTGACCTATATCTGAACTCTTCTTATATGTTTATTGCTCTTGTGTATGAAAGATAAATAGACAAGCTCACCTTTTTGCAGACAAAGTCACCAGGTAAATACACAATGGATTTCAATCTTAGCAGAACGTCGTAAATCATTTGAGTATCACACCCCTGTTAAAAATAATTACAATTGTGCTGTACTTGGTACAGTGCTTGATATGATTACTGGTTCTTACACAGGGCAGCAAGAGACAGCTGTACAGGAGTGTGCTGAGCCAAGGTTGCAGGAGCCAAATGTGAAGCTTAAACATCATAAAGATCAATTTCTTGGGGCTGAGAAACTTGTGAAGGAGCTACCTATTAAACTAGTTATAGAAACGGCCATCACTGTATTGTCTAAAGACCCCAACCCTATCTTTTCTGGGTTTTCACCTCATGAAAGAATAGTCTAAATGTGAGAAGTCATTGCATCTGACACTCAGATTAGTCTTTGAATGCATCTAGTGTTGTAATTAAGCCTGAGGGAATACTGCTGTAGTCTATTTTGTACTCTTTGCACTGCTCAGTCATAAAGAGCCACAAAACCATACTGGAAAATTCTCTTGCTGAACCTTGCATCCTGTCCCCACCTGAGATAAAGGGCACTGTTTTAAACTAATCCTCTACTGGTGTAATTAAGGACCTAGAGCAGTGGTGCAAAAGTCTGGCAGCAGCTAATAAGAGGATCAAAGTAGGCATTGGCCACAGTTTTATCAGCTGAAAATGAGTGTTGGACACCTGCCCCATTTCCTGAGCCAAGAGGATTTAGGGGCAGAAGAAAATCCCACCCCCAGAGTGTCACAAAGTCAGAACTTCTGAAATAGAACCTGTGACATGGGAGACTTTTTTTTTGTGGCTTGATGTCATTTTGGCAAGCCTGCTACAGAGGGATGGTATTAATGCATGTAGGCCCTCATGCCTACAGTACCTTACTACATGCTGGTCATGAGTTAATGTATCCCTGAAATGCTCCCAAGAGTTAGGAACAAATTACTGGTATGCCCATTTCACTAAGAGAAATCTCAGACTCAGGAGGGATAAGTGACTTGTCCAATGTTTCATTAAAAAATTGGTTCCTAGTCTGCTATGGTGGATTATGGTAGGCCTGATCTATACTCTCTTGCTTAAGTTCAGCTGGCAAAATGTGTTAGTCCACACTGTAAATTCATGGCACAGAAGACCCTTCCTTCCACTGGCATAGCTAGATCTACTCTGACTGTACCATAAGGCTTCCGCTACCATGCCTTTTCAGGATACACAACACACTGTTCCAGCACAGCCAGTGAAGTGGAGCTGCCAGGCAGGTGTGCATGCTGTGTGGTGGTTTTCCTCTGGTAGTTGCTGTGGTAGCAGAAGCTCCCCCCACCTCCCAAAGCTGTATACAAGGACTATGTGTTGACTATTACTTAATAATAATACTCTAACTGGCAGTAAAGAGGATGGGTCACATCTCTTCTTGGTGTAAATCTGCAAGTTCCACGTCTTCAATAGGTACATGGATGGTTGAGCAACATATTTATACTAGTGAGAGATCTTGTCTTATTTTAACTGCTCATTATTACCCTCGGCAAAGGATTTAGTATTAAAGCTATTGTGTGTCATTACTTTTTCTTTCTAAACTAAGATATAATGATTCTGCATTTTTGCCATGGCAAAACATGACATTTCTTACTAATTGTCTGACAAAGATCCAGTCTTCAGCTATCATCCCTAATTTTCTTGCAGTTTACTAAGTCATTAGGAAGTCCATTCACATAAAGCTGCCAGTGTCCAGAATATCAGGTTCCTGTTGACATTCAGAAAAGATAACAAAATTGGCTGGCAAAAATGGGCGAAAGATGATGTAGATCTTACCAAAGTTAACTTTTTTTAGTAGTTTCTAGAGGGGAGGGGAGGAGGGAGGGTCTGGCTTAAACACACTCTTCTGCACCCCAAAGGTCAGTTTCCCCAGAAATGACACGCAAACTACACCCCGCTTTGTCACCTCTAAACCTGGTCTCTGATGTCAGCCTAACCATACTGATATAACTACATAGTATTTCATTTAACTCATTATTTTTTTTTTTTTTGGCTTCCTCTTTGGATGCAGACACAAGCACTTGGCCCAGTGCACTTGAGTTTCCATAGACTTTGCAGATTTTGGCCATATTTTGCCTTTTTATGTTTAAATAATAACATGTCTCTTGTAACAAATGTAAAATTAGATTTGGTATCTCACGAGTACAGCATTTCGCGTCATTCTCCTTTAAAAGTACTTGCTTTGAATAAGTCAACTTTATTGACAATGGCAAAGTTCACATCAATAGCAATGGCTAGCTGCATTTTGGCTGGCATCTGCTCCACTAATTCTGATTCATCTGCAAGAGAAAAGAAAGTCCCAAATCCCTAATTACAAAGGGTAAGTACAAATAAAAATGGAGAAGGAGGTAGGTACAATCTACAGCTAGGTAGATTGTATCCCTTATATCAGGGCTGTCCAGTTGGTGGTTCACAGTCCACATGCAGCCTGCAGAGGATTAAATTGTGGTCTCCAGGTTCTCACCTTCCCACCACTCCCCGAGTTGGTCCCACTGCAATAGCAACTGGAGCCTCCAGTCTTCCCCCGCATCTTCTGACTGCCACTTCCTGCCTCCACTTCAGGCAGTGGGGCAGTGTGCCATAGCATGGGGAGCTGAGGAGGATCCAGGCCATGTGCAAGAGTGGGGGAAATACTGTGCCCCCCACAAGGCTGTAGTGGGGGTATGCCAAATGCAGGAGTGGGGGGCATAACAGCATGGAACAGTGTGGGGAGGAGCATCTAATCAGTGTACAGGGCACAGTCCAGTGGCCCATGGCTCGCCTGGTGTAGCCCCCACTAGCACAGTCCCTGGGGGCTTCAAATTGGACAGACCTTTATTATATATATAACATAGTGAGAGAATATAATAGATTAACTCTCTAATACATATTTTGTAAGAGGGAATGTAGTTTTCCACTAAAAATTTTGCTTTAAATTATACATTATTTCCAGAACACTAGCCAGATGTATTAAACATACATAAGTCAAGCATCACATTGGATTGGGTTTTGAAGTGAATTATATATCCTGTCTTCCCCTTTCCTCCCCTCCCCTACACCATTCAGAAGAAAACAAATAAAACTACATGTAACTTAGATCTATATAGCAAATTTCAATTGTGAGTCATCACTGTGTGATTGGAGGTGAGAGGTTTAAGAGTCATCTTACCCAGCATTCCTTGAGAGTCCCATGTATATTCATACCAGTTTCGCACACGATTCTGAACCATTCTTGGAATGGTATAGGTGTTCATGTAGGAGACTGTGTTGTCCATACAGGAACGATAGTAATTGTGCCCTGCTGTGGCTGCACCAATTACATCCCGCATCTGCAAATATCAGTTGTTACTACACAGCACATTTCAGTGGAAATAATCTCAGTTGCAATCCCTTGCTGTTACCATGAAAAATAAGTAAAATGTTTGTTTACAAATGATTGATTAATTAGAAATCCAGCTATATTAAATAGTTCATTTTATCTGGTTTTTTAAGAAGAGAGTAAGTGTTTGCTAGTTGTTTCCCATATCATAACTGCCTTGGAATCCTGCTGCTAATTTTTTATATATGTACAATAATAGTTACTATTTTCAACACACTTTTCTCCCTCATGTTGCCAAGTTAGCATGAAAAATAGTTACCTTATTTGTTATTTCTAAGTAAGATATTTTGGATGGAAGCAAATATTTTAAAATAAAGATACTCCTTTAAAATTTACTAATAAAGCCCTTCTTTGAACAACAGCAAATCAGAAGTGGAGGTGAAATGCATTAAGTTCTAGTAGCACTGTCAGCTGATACTTCTAAAGTTAAGAGTCTTTTAATGTTTCTTCTGGTAATTGTGTTTGAATTGCTCATAAAGATCCAGTTTGAACTGGAAGCTGATCTTAAAAGTCTGAGCACAGGAATGCAAAGTTCAATAAAAAGCCATTATATATATATATATATATATATATATATATGTATGTAATATTAGCACATTCTCTTGTTCTACAACTACAGCTACATCATTAGTAGAATATCCTGAAATGTTAATGACCAATGGGTGTTGTGATTGTGTGCCAGATTCTGTTCTCATTCACTGCAAATTGAAAGTAACTCTATGGAGCTCAATAGACATTGCTGTGGATTTATAAAAAGAAAAGAAAACAGCTTGCTTAGTAATTTTAAACCCTTTTTACAACATAGGCATTATCTATTGACTGTTGCTAACATATTCACGAATCTCTATTGAGGCTTTGATCCTATGATTGACACTGCACTGGTGTGGAAGCCCATTTTGCATGAAGTCTGCTGTTCACTTGGGATTTAATAAGGGACTTAGATTAGATCAGAAAAAATATTAGGCTTGCAGATAGCCAATGTAACCTCTGAGTTTACAATCTAGATTGTCTTCAAAGATGCTTTATCATCCTGCCGAATAATGTCCAGTGTGTTATATGTAAATAAAAACATTAATGCAGATAATGTCTATAATTACATGCAAAACCAGATGTTAAAATTACAGTTTAACCATGCGGGTGAACTAATAAATAATGCTCTCCCAGGCTAGGTGGCTCACAAAGGCATTTCATATGAAATGGTTTAAACAATTCATGTGTTCTCATCTTGCAATCTGATCCATAGAAGCTGACCTCTATACTGAGTTTAATCAGCCTGAATCCAACTGTGGGACTGGAACCAGGACCTGGAAGATTGGGATTTTACTGTGAATTATTAAGGGAGGCACATGGCATAACTGGTGTACATAAATATAACGTTAGGAAAAAACAAGCATAAAAAATAAGACTGAAAAGAAGGCAGCAATTCTGAATGGATTTTTCAGTCTCTCTGTAATCCAGAGTTTTGTAGATCTAGTATTCCAGATTATGTATATGAATGAGACTTAAAGTAATAAAATTGGAAGGGAACTCAAGGCCACTGAGTCTAACCCTCTGCACATCATCATTCCATAGGAATGATTTATACTAATGAAAATCTAGCAATTAATTTCTTGGTTTACCTGACCAATTAAGCTGGAGAACACAAAGACACCCAAGAAATAATTCAGCAGTTGAAAGATTATCTCAAACAGGTTTTGTGGTTCTGGAAGGCCACCAATGGTAATTAAACTGCGAATTGCCCAGTAGTAACACTTCAGGTACCTGTGGATACAAACAGCATACATTTTTTTTTTTACTGATTTCAATGGAACAACCTACATGCTCAAGAAAGCATGCACTTCGATGTCTTAATCTGAAACCTGTCAGTCAATCTGTATTCCATCCATTTCCTCCTTTCTTATACTTAGTTTATAAAATCTTTAGGCCAAGAAATTTTTCCCCCTGTATTGTTTTAGCATGCTAGCATCTTAATTTATGACTGGAGTTCTTAGTCGCTACATTACTACTAAAAAGGAGATCAGATTAGATTATAATTTAGTTAAACTAAAATCAGATTGATACTAGAATTTAGCTGTGGCACCAGTGCTACCTCCCTTTCTTTGCCAAAGATGCCATGGTGTCTTTAAGGAAGAACATTAACTCAGTTCCAAATTTAATTTGAAACATGGTATGGTGTCCCACTACCACCCACTTGCATAAATTAGGTTTTTTGAAATAAGTTTGTAATGTTAATGAAAAACTGTATTGCTTTTTCCTTTTATGATTTAACCTTTTAGTAAGAAATTGAAGCTTTAAAAATAATTTAAAACAACTTAATTTATATTTATAACACAATCTTCTGGCTCTAAACAAACTATGTTTAACTGTCCTAAGCTTATTAGGAAATGAAGTCCATTTTCCCCAACTGTACAATAAAGCCTTCAGTTTTACATATGACCTCAGCTCAGCTTCATGAACAAGCAAGGCTTTTTACATTTAATAAAATGTATTCTATTTAGAAAAAAAATTAATTAGCAATACATAATTTTTCAGATCTCTCTCCTGAAAACAGGAGCTTTGGTACATGTCTTAATGTCTGCACTGAATCCTGAAAGAAGGTGATCTTTTTGCAGATTTGGGAACTAAATTTTAACTTACTAATACCAAATATATCCAGTCCTCGGAGAGGTAGTGTGATTGATAAACTATAGAGTACAACTTGAGCTTTGTGAAGGGGCAGTTTTGTATAAGTATAGTGAAACCTGCATTAAAGGTAATCTCTGATAAGGAATTGTCCATTTGAAACTACTTTAAAGTGTTCCCAAAGCTTTTAATATAGTTTTAATTGACCTTTCAGTTAAACACCAGCATCTACTAAGCAATTGATTTTTGCTAGTCAGTTGGTCACTTTAGACTGGTTTTACTATAATGAAATTTAGTATTGATCATTTTTACCACAATTATCTACTTGTAGCTAGAATCATCTTTCTTATTTATTTCTTTTTTTCCTTTAAAAAAACTAAAACATTGCCTATATAGTCTCTTTTCTCTTGCTGTGGCGTGAGCAGTTAATTAAATTAAACCTCTTTATTATTTGCAGTTTCATAATGTCACCATTTAGCCCCCTTTCAGCAAAGTTAGAGCAATTGGTGGCTCTTCTATCACAGTTCTGTGGGGTATGCCCCTTGTAAAAAACATTATGTTCATGTTTTACAAGTATCACAGTCGTACAGGTAACATAATGTCCCTAAACTGTTTGCAAACGGAGCTCCACATGAAGTGTATTAGTTAATGCTTAATAAGATGTCCCAAAACAGTAAAGTAATGAGCGGTGGGTGACCTGAGTACCAGCCCCGAGTGTCAGGGGCCCTAATAGGTAGTGCACCCAGGACTAATTGCCCAGTTAGCTAGCCCTGCCAGAGACTCTAACTGGCAGTCCCACCAGGGCTGCCACTAGCCACTGTTCAGGCCTCCTGATCAGTTCCTGTGGATAGCAACCTCCCCATTTATGTCCACCTGTGGCAGGAGAGTCCACTTCCCCATTTAAGTCCACCTATGGCCATATAAGTGTTGTACTTAAAGGTCTGCTGTGGTAAGCTTCCCTGCAGCCTATGCTCTTGGTTTTCTGACCCTGTCCAGCTCTGCTTTGACTGTGGCTGTTTAAAGATTCTCCAAGACTTCGGGAACTTGGTATCTGACTCCAGATCCCTGATTTGGCCTGTGGCTTAGATTCTGCCCCTCAGTTTCCCCCCTTAGATTTGGAAACTTAGTCTCTGAATCTAGAACCCTGACTTGGCTTGTGACTTAGGCTCTACTCCTAGAATTCTCCCTCAGTTCAGGTACCTTGTATTCTGACTCTGGTTCCTGGTATTCCCTGGTGTCCTAACTATTAGGATGGACCACCTACAACCCAGACCTTACACTGGGTGCTCACTTAGAGGGGCTACGAGGACTGCTGTTGCAGCCAGCCCAGTTGCCACAGCCATCCCTGCCCTTGTCACCCAGGTCTCAGAACCTGGCTGTTATGCCTCTGTTTCAAACTCACTGAACATATTGGGAATGTCATACATATTCTAAAGTGTAGCTTTAAGAATGTAAGTGTAAGAAAGAAAGTATTGCTACTCCTGGACTAGCAACGTTGAGAAATTAACAAAGAAAACATAACATAGTAGACCAGTGGCATTCAGCATGATAGATAATGTAATGCTAGTTCTTGGCTATGCCAGGGGACCTTTGTACAGAGCAGAGAATTCAGTGATAATGGTAGAGGGAGCCACAGGAACATCAGGGGTTGGTCTCCATGTTGTGTGCATGCACACTTAAGAGAGAGTGTCCATCCACCAGTGCCGGTATGCTTAAAGCAGCATGCATATTTTAGTGATTTTTCTTTTTTTACTTCAAAGGAGACTTTTCACAAGGGTGAGTCATCTGGGCTAGGGACAGATATTCAAAAAGCCTGAGCCTGAATTAATTCAATCTTTTCAGGTTAGTTTATCCTGCCTAGATTTAATCGGTTTGCAACCTTACAGACATTCCTTCTGGACTGAAGAAATGCAGGCACACGCCTGCAGTGGCTCAAGCTAGAAGCCTGGGGGGGAGGGAGGCGGTGCTACAGCAGCCCTCCCTTCCCTTTTATGATGCTGAGCTGAGAGGGGGCATGGCCAGGACCCGGCAGGATGCTCTGATTAGGGAGGGGTGTAAACTCCCACCCTGCCTGCACCATCCCAGGCTTTTGCCTGTTCTCTGCTCAAGGGATGGGAGTGTTGCAAGCCCCCAGCCCCTGGCTAGCACTCTGAGGCAAAGTGGGGGTTGTGCAGTGCATACATCTGTTGAAGATACTGAGCTTTTCAATCTTCATACTATCTGCAAACCTGACAAGTGAGGGAGTGGTGCAGGGAGCTGATAACACAGCTTTTATCAGCCCATTAACAAAACAAAACCCTCTCTCATTAGTTCAAGCTCTTCTTAAACAGCTTTTTCCAAAGAAGGAATGGAGGGACATTACCAGCTGACCTGTAGATTAGCTCCAAAAAGCCCTAAATGCACACTGTTCTGTCTGCCTGTACCTGTGAAACTGGAGACACTCACACACAGACACCTCTCAGCATTAGCTAGCATACCACGTGCCTAGGGTCTGTGGGGCTGGGGTCTGTGCTGTGGGAGATAGGATGGAGGGAGGGGAGGATCCCTGCTTAAGCATCGAGCAGTGAGGGTGGGGGGGCAGGGGGAAGCCAGGTAGACCATGCTGTACCTGCAGTCTCTGCCAGAGCTCCAGCTAGGGAGCAGAGGGGTGGGGCTAGCCCTGTTCTCTGGAGCAGAGAGCCCAGCCCAGCCCAGCCCAGCACAGCACAGCACAGCCCAGGGCTGCAAAGCATCTGGGATGCTGGGGGGACTCTGGTTTAACTTAAACCAAGAAGGGGTCTGGGACAGACATTGCACAAACTGGCTTGACCCAAATCAGTTAAGTCTGATTCTACATTCAACCAGGTTTACCTTAAACCAGTTTCAGCCATTTTGAAATGTGCACTGAACTTACATTCAGTGCAACTTTATGTGCACTGAACTTACGTTCTGTTACAGGTTTAAACCAGTTTCTGATCACTCAGACTGGTTTATGTGTAATGTCTGTCCCTAGCTGTGGTGCTTACTATCTTTCAGATACAGGTTTTATATGTTTCCCTTTCCCTTAGTTTATTGTTTTTTCTTTAATCTGAAATCAGAGTGCACTGAACTTACATTCAGTGCAACTTTATGTGCACTGAACTTACGTTCTGTTACAGGTTTAAACCAGTTTCTGATCACTCAGACTGGTTTATGTGTAATGTCTGTCCCTAGCTGTGGTGCTTACTATCTTTCAGATACAGGTTTTATATGTTTCCCTTTCCCTTAGTTTATTGTTTTTTCTTTAATCTGAAATCAGAGTTGCATGACTAAAATATAGACAGTTCTTTGTGTAAAAAATGAAGAAATGTAATTGTGAAAAGAAAACAAAAAGAGCCAGAAGAGAGAGTTTCCAAATTCAATGGTATTAGTAGCTCTGCTTTCTACCAGCTAGTATGTCTGGAAATCATCATTGTTGGCCGTACAGCAACTGGATAACTCTAAAATTACTGTTAAAACAAAAAA